GTGCGGGCCCCAGCACAATCTCCAATTTTTCGGACTTTTGCTGGTTAAGCTGTTGTGGTTCCCTGCAGTCCCGAGATCAGCCAGGCCAAAGTCTGCCCTAGGTCGTCACTACCCCTGGCAGTCGCCGCCGTTGTGGATCAGAGGAGACTTGCCACCATGCGTTTAGTTTGATACCAAGATGGTGAAGGATCCTGGTACTGGTTTACTCTTCTTAGCTGGATATCGCAGTCCGACACCAAGGTAAACCTAGCAGCCACGATGAGGTGACAAATAGTTGGGAAGACAACAACAAAAACAGCAACACCTAGTAACTTCAACGTTAACCTTGTATATATACATACAATAACAACATTGAACCTCATACATATCTGAACGAACTATCTTGACAAATTACCACACGAGATATACCAAAATTTTGCACTGACCTATAATTTGCTGGTCGAACCAGCTTTCGGATGGAGACGTCGAGCACTTAAGAACGCGGAAGAATCGTGTTCGTAGTGAACATTCTTCCTGAATCGTAGTTCTACAAGTAGAACGTCGCCATGGTGATGCGGTAAGCTTAAGCCGACTCATTATACAGGTTATAGTGCATATACATGCAAGTGCAAATAGGAAGGTATGCTTCAATGCAACTGTGCTTTCACGAAAGAAACAACAAGTCGCTATTCTGAAACTACGCGCGAATTAAACAACAGTAGCCACGTTGTTCGCGGAAAGATAGCACCGTAATCAAATTTTAACGATGAGAAAGGAAACAAGTTGCGTTGACTAGTTTTTAACTGCATTGGTTACGGAGAGCATATCTCAAGTGTACACGAAGCGCTGAATGGTTATGGAAGACGACATGATGGAGCAGTTGTCCATAAGACCGAGAGCAGCATGGACGTGTTCGCGATTCTCAGAGGAGTCACCAGCTTAATGACGGACCAAAAACTTCGCCCTGAGCAGTTCCATTCACTATTCCTGCAATCCTTTACAATAAATCTGAGACATAGTTAAAATGAATTCTTTGCAGTATTTTGGCAGCAACTCATACAGTGCTAATGAGTTCACAAACATCATGGGCTCACAATATAACACCGAACCTCTCGGTTCAGACCTAAAAATTCCACTTCTTCGAGATCCAGGAAGTACATATCGAACGGAAAATACCACGGTATGTTGAAACACCTCACGATAGGTGGACAAAGAGAACGACGTGGAATGAACGTGGATGTAGACATCCGGCATGGCGCCTTCCTGCAAAAGCAACGGATTTGTTTGTAGTTCATTTTCACCAGTCATATCCCCAGATGAAAACCACTTGTTGATCACACATTTATACGCGAACTATGCACGAAAGACGCCACCATGATGGACGACGATTGTAAGGTGACGGAAGCATTGGAAACGCAAGGCTCATAAAGTCGGTGCATACAAGAAGTTAAGCGGTGTCTAGCAATCGACAACACATAACAAAGCAAGGAAAGTACTTATGTGACATATTTGCAACTTTAGTAAAGGCTATGCAAAAGAACACAAATAGTCGAAGTCGGTAAACATCCGCATTACGAACCTCCTAATGAAAATCCGATATAAAACAGGCAACTACAGGAAAGCTACTTTCATGGTGTACTTACTAAATCGTAAACTTCCAAGTTCCTTCGCAGAATAGCACGGCTGCACGCCAGCGCCTTTGAACATATGGCACATTCGAAATATGTGGAGATGTTCTTCAAATTCAGCAAGCTTTTGCATTCTTAGTTTTTCGTCCTCTTCTTTTCTGACTAGGCTGAATGTCGCAGCATACCGCAATGACAAAACTATACGAAGTTTGAACGAGTAGATGAAATCTTGAAGCTTCCAAATTTCTTCCAACTTTTCTGTAACAGGAGTGAAACCACCCAGCGTGAACTTTTCCCAGCTCAAAGAATTCTGAGATAACAAAAGTAGCACGAAAAAAAACCTGGCTTTTGGGACACCTTTAAAACCCATTGTAAGCAAGTGGATTGAAAATTAGAAGACAGTAGGAAAAATATCTGCACAGAGCAAGTGGGCATCAAATTTTATGCGAAGCCCTTCCAAAACAGGCAAAAGACAGGTCATACGTGAGAATTGCAATGAAGCATTAAATCTTACTTACTTCGAACCACCGAATGACAAGAGTTCTCAAGAAACCGAAAAGCGGATCATCCAATGCCAATAATGCTAGAGGGAACTTGTGGTACTGTGTGGATAAAGAAAAATAGAAAATAGAAGTGCGATAAAAACGATGTAGTCAGCCATCATACAATACTTTCCGACCATTAAAAGTACAAATGGTCCCTATTTAACAATTCTTACAATTAATTCAACTAAAACTTTCTTAATATCACAGGAGTCTCCTCTCCGCTACCTTTTCAGTTAGTCGAATCCGCAAACATAGTTGCGGTCGTCCGTAATTTCCGGGAAACTCACATAATGAGAAGCCTGCACGCATACAAGTGCCAATTCCATGTGAAGAAAACGTGTACGTAGCATTACTAAAAAAGTATTGTGACTTCCAAAGTGAATGAAACATTCCCAGTTACGGCTTACCTTTAATAAGTTCGAAAGAGTTCACCAGGCAAAACTCAATGAACTCAAAACTCAGTACTGTTAAAGAAATTTCTAAGAATAAGTTATTCTTACAGTGAAGGCGAACACCTTCAGTGTAAAAGCGTTTCATTAAAAACGAAACCTTATGATAAAAAAGTGGCCAATTTAAACTCGCACGTTAAAATCAAATCTTCAAGAACAAAAAAGAACAAGTAGTCACAGAATCAGAAAACAACGAATGTGCACGAATTGACCGGCATTAGCACTTGTGATGGCTAGAGTGGAAGTGTTGATGAAAATCATGATGACAGTGCATGAGCCAATATGAAGCGAAAACGTATCACTAACTTGTCGATACAACAATTCCTTGAGCTGAGATATTAGAACAGAGCTGACTTACTGCGTCCTAATTCACCACAGGTACTGTCAGCTTTTCTGCTGGGATAGTCAGCTCACCCTGTTGTACCTTAGCAAAATAATGACACATTCAATATGATAAAAATAGTAGTTATAAAAAAGTATGAATCGGATATTCACAAGATAGAGGTTGACTCTGGCACGAAGAACACTAGATCTCTCCTGATTTGTAAAGAGATCCGTGGACTCGTAGACGATGAAGTGACGTGTAGTCCGCACCGTAGTTGCTCGCAACTTCGATTTCGATGATTTTCGTAGTACAGTCCGGTTGAGCGGAACAAGTACAAAGAAGTGCGTGAGATTTATTAGGACTTCACGACAAAAACTTGGCTCACAGAACCAAATGGTTATGAATATGAAGATCCCACTAGAATCAAATATAGACCTGTGACGAAAAAAGTATGGAATCCCGAATTCGTTCGAGTAATAAATTATGTTGCTGTGCATAAATGCTCACGAGCACATAATTCAAAGAGAGCAACCACCTTAACTACAAAGAACTTCAACGGGCTGCTTTGAAGGTCCTACATGAAGTACCCTGGAATAACTTTCGTGTTCATGTCAATCTCTAATTTATAGTTACAAATAATTTTAGAATAGCACCACAACGACTTCAGATGACAGAAATCTAGTCACATCCAGATTTTAAACGTTTTCGGTCCACGACGACGCTGACCACAAGGACCCTGATGAGCACCCCCAATTACAGCGATTTGTTCAACGGCTAACGAGATAAGAAGTGCCATCAAGGCGATAACATGACCTTTTACAGAAAATCTGCTCATAACTGTTGAGAGTGATACTGATTGCAAGCGAAACTCTAACTGTGATATAACTGACAAGACCTTTGAAAGGCAAACACTTACCAGCAAAAGGCGTTTACGAATTGCGATGAAACGGTGAGCACTGAAATACCTTCATTTGGTAAGGACCTAGTAGATGTCTGCAAGGAGATCGCTAGCTTAACGTAATTTTCCGAGTTTTGACGTCTTCTATTCATCTACTCTTTACTACTAGTTGGGAACTCATTGATCAGAATGCAAAAACCAATTGACTGGATAACAGTTCATGGAGCCTTCAGTTCCTGAACATCCTTCTGAATACAGTAACAAAAAAGAAACAACAACTTGAAGCCGTGGCAATGACCACCCACAATATGCCACGGTGTGACAAATTTCCACTGCTCCAGTGTACTCAAAATGAGTTGAATTCGACTTTGCATATGGCTGAAATAAGTGGTTGTATGTTGTGTCAAAACATAGAAACAAATGGATTACTTGCAGCATCAGAATCGATAAAGTTATGCACATAAATGCCCAATTGTTCTTGCAACTATGACAATAAAATAGCAGATTTTAGCCAATATCACATTACCGGTAGCGCGTGTGACGCAGGAATCGGAGGCGCCCTACAATACACACCCGGATCGATCCCCGCGTCCGTGGCTCACCAAGCCTTCCATTCCTCCGGGGTCGGCAAATTGGCACCATACTTGTATGGGAGGATAGCAGCACTTGTCGATACATCGGTAGGCCACGGCGAGTCGTTGTATACGCCTGATGTGCATTCAATCACCTCCAAACGATGCTCAATAAAGCTGAATGCATGGCGCATCCCTAAGAGATTGATCATCTCCGAGAGCTTTATTTTTTATAACGTCCTTTACACCTTGTCCTTTTTAACGCTGACCTCACCCGAACTGTCACTGAAGGATCAACATAGTTGCGAAAACCGATTCCTGCACAATGCTTAAAAAACAAGAGGCAGATTTTCATCTCTTGACTGAAACAAGAGTCCTTCCAACAACAGAAAACCATATACAGCAACAATGGCACAAGAACATCACGAAAAAAGTGCAATGAACAAACAATAAATGTATAGTATGCGTGAAATTAAAAGAGATTGAACCTATTCCCGTACGGTTGCTTGGTTTTGCAAACAATAAATAACTAACTATATCTTAGACAACCCGAGAACTGATAACCACCGTAAAAACACTATCTCGAATGCGTAGGAGACGGTCCTCAGTCACGTTCCTGCTGATCAGCCTTGCTGGAAACTATGTTGAAGCAAACAGCAGCCATACCAGCTCCGAGACATAAGAATAGCAACTGCCAATGCAGAAGCAAAACAGAGCTGTAGTAGAACGAGGCACAAGCAGCTAGTGACTGAAAGCACTAACTCATATTGCATACATGATAAAATTGCTCACATTTCTGTTAAAGGTAACAAATCTAGAAATAGTAGATCACGGAGAAACAGCGCAGTGTTAAGGAATGTGCATTATTACGAAGCACTGTTTTGACAATGGATACTACCTGAGGTAACTTTGAGCGGTCGAAACGTCAGAAAACTTTTCTTCGTAAAAGAAATTTGTAACACGGCAAATGATATTGAATATTAGGTTCATACCAAAGAAAACAAATGTATGAACGGTTCCGATGTTTTCTAGCAAAACAAAAAAATAACCAACTCACCTGGAAGAACTTGAACAGAGCAAATGCACATGACGACTCATGCTTGTACATCACACCAAGGAGTGTATAGATTTGCGTATTCCAGCAAGAGTCAGCCATACCGATGAAATATCCACTCAGCATCGCTACGATAGTGCTTAAATATCAAGGAATCACGTCGGTCTCCATATATTAGGTCTTTTGCCTCATCCCTGGATGTCAAACATTGGGAAGCAACTAGGCAACTAAGTAAATGCTTCGGTGATACCAGATTTCTACCATAGCACAAGCTTTAATACTTCTAATAGACAGATAACAATCACGAATTACCTTGGTTCAATATACCCAATAGCCGAGGTCTTGTGCAGCGGACATTCCATTGGCAAATTCAAAAAGCACAGGAAGAACGCGGTGATGTGCATGATCATCCCGAGGATTACAACTTGCGAGCGATTGAGTGAATTGCAATGAGGGAACACACCAAATATCATTCCTCCTAAAGAGTTACAGTTGATTAGATAACATCCGAAATAAAAAAGAACTACATACCACTGATTTGTCCGCCACCAATAGCCATTACCACGAAAGAGATTATCTTCTCTGATCCCATATTCAAAGCAGCAGATGCCGAAATACAAGCAGTGTACACTCCTAAATATTGCTGTGGTCAATAGCCCTTGACGAATGACGTTGAAGACTCCATACCCGTATAGAATGTTGTTTCAGTGCCACTGAATAGAAAGCATACCGACAAGAGCGCCATCTCCTTTGTGGCTAGAAGACGGAACGTATGTCCTTAAAAATAGTTCCCGCGGCATTCAGAAACTGAACTTGATGATTTAGAGCACTTACTGAACTCGTCTTTCCAACCAGTGGGAACGAGAGTGATAGATGATGATGAGATATCCAATTCGTCCACATTTTCATCGAAAAGCGGGTCTTGAAATGTCTCTTCCACTAAAAGTAGTTTTCCAAGAAACGAGAAGAATCAAATTCAATGATGGCAAGCTTACCCACATGTAAACGATGGTGATGCTGGGAGAGCACAAAGAGTAATCACACCAGCAATGGAAACCATTGCGAACACGGTATACAGAAGCTGATAGGAAGATGGGAAATCACTGAAACAGCCCACCTTTACTACGTAAAATCCTATTCGAACTCCAGAAAAATCAATTACCCATGACTCAGGACGAAAAAGAGGAAAATTGCTCCAGCAACCAGCGACGACTGTAACATTGCCCATAAAATCCCACTGTTTCGGACGATTTTTCCTTGTCTAGAGAACTGCACCAGGTAAGCGCCATTTGCTGTCCATAGCACTTAAACACATTGATGGTGACTACAGGGTAGTTCAACTTGAGCCTTTGAGTTAACTTCCAAAAGGACTCTGAAGCCTACCAGCACTACCGAACCCCAACACAGCGGAGAAAAAGTACAGCACGTAAACGTTCAGAAACAGAAACTGAATCATGAATGACGTGTAACATACAGCTCCGACTACCTGGAACTTTATTTTTCAGAGACCAGCGACAAAAATCTTTATGTATTCCTACCTGTGCCCATTTCGCGCCAAGCACGCTGATGATAGGCGGAGCGATTAAGGTGAAGAAGGTAAAGACGAAGTAGATAATCGCTAAGCTAAACATGAATGCATATACCATAGCGAGAAGCCTATCGTACTACAAAAAATTCCTCTGAACGACGAACTCAAACCTGTAGTAGCCACTGTTTTCGGTGATGCCTGACGAGGGATCATGCCGTGACAGGCTTCGCAGCACCGATATCTGAATCGCAGCAGTGTTGCCATGGCAATTAGCTTCAACACAAAACAATACCTCGACAAATGCCTGGGAGTTGAAGGCGGAGAAGAGAAGGAAAAAGGCGAACCCCAGCTGCAATATGGTGAGGAGGTCCTTGCGCATCTCCTGCAAATACAACTCGAAGAAAACGAACTTGACGAAACAAAGTACTGAGAGACAGCACAACAACAGCAGCACAGGACAATCTCGCAACCTGTCTATGGTCTCGACGAGTTTCACGCACACTCTGTAAACGCTCGCTGCTGAGAGAGCATGATTGGAGCGCGATTACTGCACCTATTTTCGGTGAATGCTGGTCTTGAATGAGGGTCTTAGAGGAAAATTAAATGCAAACATTTCGTTCTTTCTTGTGCCATTAGTCCTTGAGCAACTAGAATCGGTACTTGCAAGCTTTGTGCGTCCTCATCACATACCTGAACTGCTAATGAATGCGGTTCGCTCGCTTAAGATATAATATGAGTTTCACTCTTCTGGTATGATGCTGTACTTCACTTTAAACGGTAGTGGCACGAACATAACCACTAAGTACCTCATCGGGATCTGCTTTGACATAGGTTGAGTCCCTCTTGACTTTTCAAACAGAGATTTCGAAATCCTTTTCGGCTTGGAAGATCACGCTATTCGACACACTAGCTGCAACGTCGTAAAGCGTTAGTGGAAATTGAAACAAGTTCTCTTATTTAGTATCAGTTTCACGTGATATCCTCCACTTATAAATCATATTTGCCCAGTAAAAACGAGAATGTTATCGAAGTCAGTTTTTTTTATGCAGTAGAAGGAAAACAGTCTGGCAGAAAATCGACACTCATTAATTCTTTATTCATTAAATCTAAGCAAAAGAGAAAGTCTCTTATGATCGAAGCATATAATACTAACGACCATTCCTTTTATATGTTAAGTTTACACGAGATCGTTGTAAGGTTTTGTTGTATCTAACGTTTCGGCGTTGCCACATAAGTAGGTGTTTCTTCTTACGATATAGGTCATCGTGGCTGTTTGCTCTAGTCAGACCAAGTATTGTAGAAAATTGCAGAAATGAAATTAACCAATGAAATGTGGTGTTGTGTTTTTGTAAAGGGTAGTTCTTTGTCTCTCACAACCGTTTACCGCCTCATCGTGGCTGGTAGGTGTTCCTGGGTGTCGGGCTTTGATGTGCAGCGGGGGATTCATCTCTCTGGCAGGTTTTCCCAAATTGAGAATGAGTCCGGCTTTTCAATCAAGAAGCCTAGCTTGTTAGGGTAAACCAATACCGGGATCCCTTGCTGTCCTGGTACCAAACTAGTCGCATCGTGCCAAATCTCCTGATCCACAAAGGCGGCGACTGCCTGTGATGGTGATGACCTGGAGCAGACTTTGGCCTCGCTGACGTCGAGACTACAGGGAACCACGATGGCTAATCCAACAAAACTCCGAAAAAGTGGAGATTATGCTGGAACCCGCACAACCAGTGAGGATGGCCATCCAAGTATCCAAATAAGTAAGTTCTTTATCACCTATACTAATGGAGGACGTCGCGAAAGCTCATTCTGTCCACAAAACGTGACCAAAGAGGTCATCGTAACTGTAGTCCGAAATGCTTGTTGAGTGTAATCTACATGGTCTTTACGTAAATTATCCTATCGCGCATATCAAGGACATTGGATGAGGCAGAACCTGTGAAGCAAGCAGGACTTCGACAAGGATTTTGCTGCATAAACCCCATCCAAACTGTGTCCAGGGTCACTGGGATTTGCCATGAGTACCATCTGTTCCTAGTCTTGACTTTTGTCGACCATGATAAAGCATTTGACGGTGTTGAAACAAATCCAACACTATCGGCGCAGGCACTGTAGTGGATGATGAAGTCACACTATTGCGGTGAGAAGGCCTTAGGTATTGTTGGAAAGTTCCTACAAAACCTTCGTTTTGCAGACGACACTGTCATCTTCTCAAGAAATATGAATGAGGTAGAGACGATGACCAATGAGCACAACGAAGAGGTAAAAAATATTGGACTACGCATAAATAGAACGAAGAACGAACGAGCATAGCACCCACCGTCCAAAGTTGAACAAATCGACCTGGATGGTTTTTAATTACTGGAACCAATGCGTACGTGTATCTTGGACGTTCGACGAACATGGACAGCAACATAAAGGAGGAATCAAACAGAGGAAGAAAAACAAAATAGCATGCATTCGGGCCTCTCGAAGAAGCCACCGACGAGCTAGAGACCCGAAGATCAGCGCTTCCCATTTCGATCCAACCGACCTCCCTTCGCTTTGTTGCGCTGCAGAGACGTGAGCTGATACTTCAACCACGTCAAGAATACTCCGCACTACTAACAGAGCGACTGAATGATGTCTTCTGAAATGAAACCGGCACTCTCAATATCTAGTCAGAATGCTATGATCTTCGATCTTTGAAACCTGTCGCGTCTTTGAGACCCAGGCAAACACACATCGACAGGGAAACAAAGGTGGGTCGCTCATGTATTGAGAAGAACAGGCGATAGATGGACGAAAAGAACTGTTGGTCTCCATGCTATAAGTTGGGCGGACGTGTTCGTAACCAAAGTCAATCAGGTATACTCGCATGTGCGGTTGTTTAACAGATCACGGTATGACACTAGCACTCGTCACAGTACTCGAATCAAGCCATCACCATGTACTACGATTGCGAGGCAAGGAAATGAATGGCAAATGTGCTGGGGTCCACACAACTAGTGAAGCGGACCGCCCGAGTATCCAAGTAAGTAAGTCCTTCAACTATTGTATCTCGTCCCATTTGTTGAAGTACTATTAGCCGGCACAAAGGAAAGCTACATGCAAAAATCTACAGGCCATCTTTAGTGATGGATGCGATGAAACGAATCGAATGAAGCAAGTTCTGGGATCCGTGTAATATAACATGTGAGGTCGAGTCACGTAAAAAGCCTTTTATGGTGAGCTTTTTTGCGGCATCTTTTGTGCTTTAACAATTTTTTGTGCAATACTGATATTATCCCAGGCGTATGCCACGAAAGGCTATTATTTGCATTTAATAATTTGCGAAAAAAAACCTTTTGGACCAGTTGTTTCTCTGGCGAAAAACCATTATTGTTAACGAGCGTATGCAACGCGGAGAATGGTGTTGGTGAAGATTGTGCTTTTACTTGAAAACGAAAGTCCACCACTTCGGGACAGCTTTTCGCTGCGAGTAGACGATGAATTGTTGAAGCTCTGTATTAACGGAAGGTACGTTCACCAACGTGGTCTTCTGCCACTGGGTCATTCATCCATCAAACCCTTCATATTTGATGAACGAGATTGCGATTTGTCTTTTAGAAAGAACTACCAACTCTTATTACCAGAATCCCTTACTGATGTTTTAAATGTTGCACTCAAGAACATTATCCACACATATAATTTGCATGTGCAACATATAACTAACAAACTTTACATACATTTTATAATTGCTGCCTACAGGTTTTTTTCACATAAAATTAGTAATTTTAACACTTGCATAGATTTTTTGTTTGAACTTGTTCTTCTTGGCAAAGTCTCTCATTTCTGTGATTAGTGCCAGAACAATGTAAGCATTGTTTTCTACAACGACTGCATACAATTTTAACATGTCCATAGAGTTTTGTAACCATAATGCCTCCATTTGTGGAGAACGTTGGAAGACAATTCCACCTGCAAGTTCATATCTTGCATATCTTGCAAGTTCATGAAGCAATACTTTCGATCCGCACTAGATTGACTGTCATTAGAGACCCAACAGTTGTAACATAATACGTTGTTAGACACTGAACGATAAGTTCCTCATCAACATTTCCGTTCTGTTCCTTCGATTCTCTTTTTTTACACCTTTCGACGGGACGCGCAGATGGTTGCACGTTTTCCTCCAAATCTCTGGGTTCTTCGTTGTCAGTTTTGATAAAGAGTCGATCATTTTTCAATTCTGTGTGATGTTCCATCATTTACGGCCTTCGAGTTACAGAGCAAAATCCTTGCTATAGGTCTGGTAACTATAAACACCCAAAGTCTTCTGGTCATCAAAAAACTTTTAGGAATTACAGGTAGAAAACCAGCATAGCTTATTATGGGAGCCTTCTAGAATTCCTTCATTTTTTCGTAGGATAGTAGTTAATAGCTTTTCATTCGAAGCGTTATGATGAATCATGACAATCGTACGAAATGGGTGGGCATCAAAAATACAGAAATGGACTCGTCATAAACTGTAAAAAAAATCTTCTATATGTGCTAGTAAGAGGTCTCGTGGGGCGCAGTGGTCCGAGGCGCCATGCAGCATACACGCGGAATCGATCCCCGCGTCCATGGCTCACCAAGCCTTCCATCCTTCCGGGCTTGGCAAATTGGTACTAGACTTGTCTGGAAGGAGAGCAGTACTGGCCCGATACATCGGTAAGCCACCGCGAGTAAAGGCCGGATATGCATTAAGTTGCTACTTCTAAACGTTGCTTATTGACGTGGAATGCATGACGCATCCTTAAGGGTTTGTTCAACGTCGAGAGCTTAATCCTTTTTTATTTATGTGCTAGTACTGTGGTTATATGGCGGATATAGTAATGGTAAATAGTAACATAAACACCTACAGAGAGATTAGGCATAGCCTCTTCTACAACTCTGGGATGTTTGCAATCTCTTAAGTACTTCACTTATCGAAGAACGACCTCGTTCATTATATGTGGAAGCAGAACAGGTAGACGACTTGCACTAGTCAGGGGCCGATATGAAGTGATTCTTTGTCCTATTCTGTAGTGATACAAAATTAACTTTCGGTCGTTGTGCGTTGAAGAAAAACCAATGCTGATTTTGTGATTGCGTTAAGTGCACAAAATGAAAAAGGATTAGTCATGAGAGCATTTGATGGAAAGACTTAGGTCGGCGACAACCTCTTCTGTTCTTACTGATTTCTCTTCCGAATCACCTGGTTGATATACAAAAGCAATAAGCTACGTTCTTCTTTCTTTAACACTGTTCTTGATTTAAGTGGTTGTTTATAAGGTCTATTTTAGCATATGCCTTGCAAGATTTACAGTGCTGTATAGTTGATAATTATTCGTAGCACTGGTCGAAAATGCTAGAAAGGATGATAAAGCGTCTAAAACTAAGGGAATTAACTGCCACGACCGACTTTCTATTAAC